TGGTGCAACATATGACTGATATTGAACTATATGTATTTATTTTATGCTCCAGTGTGTCATATTTTTCTCTCAGTCTCTCTTGTTGTCTCATCTTTGCTCTGTGTAAACACAAACTGCAGTTCACGAGAAAATTCTCTGAAGTTTTGTCATGTGACTGTTGGTCACAGCTGAGTCGGTCATCGCTTCTCAGTTGCACTGAGGAGTGCAGATTTTGTAGTTTTTTACAGGATCTGCTGCAAACGGTTTCTTTATTCATGGTTTTAAGCTCAGATTTGCTCCATTTTCCTGATGGAACAGCATATTACACAATACATTCAAGGACCACAGAAAAGCTTTTTTTTAAAAAATTCAAAACATTTCTAGCTCTAATAAGTGGTGTAATTTTGGTGATTGAAAAATAAAAGAATGCCCTTCAAATTCTTTGGCAGGTTTTGAGGATCAGGGTGTGTAGTGAGGCAAATAGTGCAACTAGGAACCCAGTATTGTCAGTCCTGTGGTGGTCCTTGAACTATTACCAGCCTGAAGAAAGCTATTGGTCAAATAAATGTCACTACTTTCATCAAAATATTACTTTCATTTTATTTGTGTGTGTGTGTGTGTGTGTGCGTGTGTGTGTGTAGGTGTGTGTGCACGCATTCATGGTGATGCAACAGTATGAATCACTGATATTTTTTTTTTTCTAATGCACAGAAGAATGATATACAGTGGAAACCAGGCGTTTACATAGAAAGTTTTAAGCCTAATCTTAAAAATAAAGAGGGTGTCTCCTCCAGAACCCAAACTGGGAGCTGAATCCATTTTGTTGTGTGTCTTGACAAAGACAGGCAGCAGCACAATTGACAGACAGACAAGGTCACAACAACGTCCACACAAACATCATAGTCATAATACGTCGCGAAATTAAATTTAGAAGATAAGAAATCAACATATCAGCAGCAATCAGACACGTAACTAGCAAAAATAAAACTCTGTCAAAACATATACAGATGGATTTTTCTGCCTCCAAATCATTTAAGAACATTTTAAAAGTTTAGAAGAGCTCTATAGAACCATTTAGAATTCTATAGAACGTTTTAGGGTTCTATGGAATCAGTTAGAATTCTATGGAATTATTTTGAGTTCTATGGAATCAGTTAGAATTCTATGGAGTTATTTCCAATTCTATCGAATAATTTAGAATTCTATAGAATTTTTTAGGGTTCTATGGAATCATTTAGCCTACATCCAGTTCCCTTACAGCATCACCAATGAGCCCAAATCAAACAGGGACTTAACGCCATCACTGGATTCCCAAACATAAGTGGAGCCACAGCCTGCACCCACATCGTTATCAACCCACCATCACTAATGAAGGTAATTTTGTAAATAGACAAGGGTTTCGTTCAATCAATGTACAAATAATGTGTGATGCACATTTGTCGCTATCCAACGTTGTTGCCTGATGGTCTGGAGGAACACACGACTCTGGGGCCAGGGCAGTTATGGCATCTAACACTGCCGGCATGATCCTGCTCAGTGGTGGGTGGAAATGCTGCATATGTCTCCAACCTCAAGCTGGAATGTGCCGGTGGTCAAAATCCCTGAATGCTTTCTATTTGTAGTTTCACTGTTCTACCGCTAGATTATGTGTGTACGCATGGTCAGAGGTGTGCTTACATTTACGCACATTCCTAAAGTTTAAGTACAAGTTGATAAATTCCATACTTTGCGTAGGAATGCTCATACGCACGCTCTATGCACATATCTGTGTGTACGCACTGATGATAAATGAGGCCCGTGGTCATTTTGCAAAGTGTTCCAATAACAGAGGAGCTGATAACTGAAGGCTCTGCCTCCCATTCTACTTCTAGAAACTCTGGAACCACAAGTAGACCTGCAGTCTGAGAGCGAAGGGCTCTGTTAGGATGATACGGTACAATAAGGCCTTGAAGATAAGATGGAGCTGGTCATTGAGAGTTTGAGATGTTAAAAGCAGGATTTTAAATTCTCTCTTAGATTTTACAGGGAGTCAATGAAGAAAAGCTAATGCAGGCGACATATGATCTCTGTTACTGGTTCCTGTCAGAACTCTGGCTGCAGCATTTTGGATCAGCAGGAGGTTTTGAAGAGAATTGTTGAGACAAGTATGAAGCATGCTTGGGTTCATTGTCTTGTTGGTATATGAACTCACGACCAATCAGATTCAGTCCAGAAGGGATTCCATGATGTGTGTGTGTGTGTGTGTGTGTGTGTGTGTGTGTAAAATAGAGAAACATAAAGGTAAAACAGTGTGCCATATAACTTTTTACCTTATCACTAACAACACTGATATTTAGATCTTCAGTTCCAGGATTGTGGTCGTCTTTTCTTACCACTCAGCCTTGTGGTAATTGTAATTGAACTGATGTATCATCAGTGTTGTTGATAAGTCCTGTGTTTTGTCTGCCATGATAAGTCAGCATGTCTGCTAACAGACCAATGAATGGGAATGGAACATGAACAGGTCCTCACCAGGGATATTGACAAAAATCTCTGTTCAAATTGAATATGGTGCAGTTACTGTGATCTACCAGTAGATGTCACCCTCATACTGCTGCCTCGGACTGCTGAAGCTTATAGGGAATCCAAATGTTTTGGATTGATTGGGTGTTTCTGTCTCTGCCTTTGTGAAGCGCTATGAGATGACTTGTTGTTGTAAATATGCGCCATACAAATAAAATTGAATTGAATTTAATTGAATACTATAAGAACACCAGACAAACAGACATGCAGAGTGTTGTATCTTACACTTTCAGTATTATTTCAACGACTTGTTGGGCTGGAGGTGTGATTCTTGCTTTTTTTTTGTATTCAAAGAGATTCAAGAGATTCAAATCCTATTTGAAGTCTGTCTGTTCTTTCCATCTGTCCTGATTTGTTCGCAGAAGCAGTACCACAATCACAAAACACTGTTTTGTACACAAGAGTCAAAAATGTAGGTCCAGTCCAATAATTTTGATCAAAAACACAAAGTGATTCTTTCAAATTAAGTTGTTTTCTTTTCTTTTTTTTCTTTTTTATTTTATACCATCAACATGTGCTGGGAGCTCACGGCCACACTGTGTACATTTATGTTTGATTTGCCTTTTTCTTTTTTATAAAAATAAATAAATACAGCTATGAACAAAAGCTTACATACTGTGTGAAAGTCTGAGGAGCGCTGCAAAGATTTGAAAAAACAACTCGCTGACTTGACAAGTCAGCAAAGTTAATTGGAGTCATTTCAAGGCAGCTACAGATTCCAAAATCACCTGTGCTTACCATCGTTTATAAGAATAAGTTCATAGTCCAGTTGTCTTATTGCCACTGTTACATTCCTGCTTACAGTTGTCAATATGGAAGAACTCACAAGCAGAGTGAATGGTAGTGAAGAACAAATTATTTATTTACAAGGAATGAATAAATGAAATTAACAAAACGAAGGTGTCAAAAAGGTGTGGGGGAAGGGTCGGCTGTGGGGTCGTGCCAAATCAAAGAAATAAATATAATAAAACAGGGCCTAACTCAAATCTTTCTGAAGGAAAAGAAAATGAAAACAACAGGAAGAAAACAATCTATCACCTGCCGCTGAGAGACGATTGGTCAGGATGGTTAAGAGTCACCCAAGAATCACCAAAAAGCAGCTCTGAATGTATAACTAGTGAATGTGAAGCTGCTGGAGCACAGTTGTCAGTGTCCACAGGCAAGTTTTATCAAGAAGGAAGCCCTTCCTCCACAAACAACAGCTTGAAGTTCGTGTAGCAAAATAGCTTAAATTGTGTAGTCTCACACGTGGGAACCAATTATTATAACATGTAGCCTAACAGCCTCACACAGCTGTACCAAAAACTACAATATGTAGCTGAACTACACTTTATGATTAAAATCGCACTCGTTTATAATCGGGGCACCACCAAATATGAATTTGGGAATAAATGTTTAATATTCCAGACTGAGTATCAACAAACTAATCAACTCTACTTGTATTGATCAGCCTCATTAACAATAATGACCCCAAACACACATTAAATGTGGTGTAGAAATTGTTAAATCAGGCTAAAGTTAAGATTTGAGACTTGTGTCCCCAAAGTCCTGACTTAAACCTCGTCAAGAATCTGTGGCCTGTGCTAAAGAAACACGTCTATCAAAAAGCCAACAAATTTAGTTTAACAGCACCAATTCTGTCAAGAGGATTGATCACAGATACAACCAGAACCCTGAGGATGGCTACAAAAAGTGCCCCATTACGGTAAACATTCATTTTACCAAATATTATAATTGCTGTACAAAGATTTTGTCATATTTCCAGACGATCTACAATAAATTTGTGAAAGAACCAAAATGCATGATTGTTTTTGCGACAAAGATGCATGTTTTTCAATAATTTCATCATAGAAAATTAAGAGTTGTATGAGTCACTGGAAATTTAAGACTGCCATGATATACATGGTTTTTGTAAGTGTATGTAAACTCTGCTCGCGACTGTTTATGTATCATTACTGGTGTTGTGCAAAGTAATTCACATCCATGTCTTACCATCAGTTATAGTTTCACCTGTAATGACAAACAGCAAAAGAGGTTGTTTGCTACTAATGCTGTTCCTGTAGATCAGGGGTGTCCAATCCTGGTCCTCGAGAGCCCCTATCCAGCATGTTTTAGATGTTTCCCTCTTCCAACACACCTGATTCACATGATCAGAATCGTTATCAGGCTTCTGCAGAGCTTGATGATGAGCTGATCATTTGAATCAGGTGTGTTGAAGAGGGAAGCATCTAAAACATGCTGTATAGGGCCTCTCCAGGACCAGGATTGGGCACCCCTGTTGTAGATTGACAGTCAAAACTTCTACAGCTACTGTTGTTAGATTTCACTCCACTGTGACACTAAAGTTACAAGAGCTTAGTTCCACAATGTAATGATTTATACAGGTAACAAAAGGACTCAGCATTCATTGGCCTCCGTGAATACTCAGTGACTGACAGAGGAAACACAGTTGACAAAACTCCTTAAAATAAAACCTTTATTATATAAAAATGCTTTTGATACAAAAAAATGTCACAAGTGTAAATTACACAAAGCATTCTTAGCTGAGACAACAAATACAGGTTTTAAGAGGTTTTACTGACACAGTGGTTTGAGGCAGGACATATAGCCCTTAATATAAATGTGTTGTGCTGCTCAGCAAGTACCCACTGACACATTGTATTGATGATACTTCAGCTACTGCAGCTGAAAAAAACCCATCTCAGACCAGTAACCAGGCATCAGGCTGAATGTCACCTGACAGGAGATAAAAGTAATTGGGCAATAGGGTTACTGCAAGTTCCTAAAGTTCCCCACCTTCAAAAGTGCTGGTATACTTATCTATTAGTATTCTACAATCTCCTCTTACTCATCTAACACAGAAGAACCTTTTCCAGGCACAGTGGCCAACACTTACTCTTGTGGAAAACACAATTCATGGCTACTTTTGCCCTGGTGCCTGTTACCAGATGTCAGAAATGTTTTTTTGTCTGACCTCGTGTCTGTTTTTGAGCTTTGCCAGCACTGTATAATTAAGATGATGCTGATCCTTGTTCTAATCTATACTATTATTTGCAAGATTGTGTTGTATTTTTACAGAGAGAGAATGAAGTCATTGTGCCCTCTAGATCAAACAAAAACCTGACCTTGGGCACTGGCTTATCTGGGGTTGTGATCAAACTAAAGTAGGGCATTAAGTTGGTCTTTACAATATAAAGAGCAGAGGTTAGGGTGTCAATAAAAACACTAGGGTTCCTCCTCTGTGAACCAGAAAACCTGACAGAAATCTGCCCACTCATTGTTCAGAAATCCTACAAAATGTAGCAAAAGGTTAAAGTCAGGGAAAGTGTATAAATAAGGTGAGGCAAACTTTTGGCTTTGGTTTTTTTTGGCAGTGTTTCTGCAGGTTGTTTTATGGGAGGAAGCATTCAAAGTTCACAGCAGGATTCACTGGTGAGGGCCACTGCACTGGAGGCGACTGTCCAAAACCCCCATTTCATGCCTACTTAATGCAGTGATGGTTGTTGAGTTCATTGTCAAGATGTATAAAACGTACAAAAGAACAATGATTTTGAAGTGAGATCAGGGAAGATTCATCTGAAGCATACGGATATGTTCAGTAAGTTCAGTCCTAAACAATGTATCTCAGCCGTCTATTTCCAAAAAAAGACTCCTTCAAACCAAACATGGCAACTGACAATGAGGACATACATAATAATCTACACATACAAAAACAATTACAAATACAAATAACAAGAGTTGCTATAAGAATAATTTGTTATTAACTGTAACATAGCTTCATGATCTACTGCATGTACAAGAGTGGTAATTTTGGCCTTTGTGTGTAATTATAAATCAAAGTCTGATATAGTATGTACACGATAGCAGCAAACATACTTTTGGTAAACAGGACAATAACAGTGAAGTGAAGGTGATGGAAGAGGTTCAAATTCACAATGAAAAGCATTCACTTCTCACAACTCAATCACTGACTTCATTATGTACACTAGCTTTACACGATGATGCTCATTTGGTATGTCGACGTCAGGTGGTGGTTTCAGAGGATAGCAACTGTTGGCAGAATTGTCTTTGTCTTTTCATTGACTGGAAAAAAAAAAAAAAAAGCTGTACCTCTTCAAAAGGCCCTGTGTTCAGCTGTAAAGAATTCCCAGTTTGAAATGTAGAGGGACACAATTTCAAAACAATATACATCAGCCTTCACACTGTGATCTTGGACCTATTACATCCATCAACTCAGTCATTCTTAATTTTAAACATTCATTCCGTCATCAAATGTGTCTACTATCTTACATCCAGCAAACATGCACATATGTTCACGTACACATCTGTCCAATTATTTAACATTATCACTGCCTCATTCACACAGCCACTCATCCAACTGTCCTTTTGTTTTCTAAAGCAGTGGATTAGATCAGATCGCTCAGCATTAATAAAATATGAAAAATAATTCCACTGACTGTTTTTTTTTTTAAACAATACACACAGTCCTGTCACTGTCTGTCAACAAGGAGACTGTAAGGATGGAGGAGATAAATGCTGTAAAGCTGGGGGGGGTCTTTAGTCCCGATGAACGACTTGTTGCATTGGATTTGTGGTTTTCACACAACACCAGTGAGTTCCACGCACACAGTACAGAGTTTAGGGAGCAAACAAGTATTTAGTATTCTGTTTGAACAGATGGAAATTTTGTAATCAAGAAGCGGCCCAGCAAATGAGGTCTTCATTTGATGGAATGAAAATTGAACAGGGAGCTGCTGGCCAAATTTATCCATTATTTTTTTGTGTCCTGCAGCAATGAAGGGGAGGCCTTAAACCTTCAACCTGCCACAAGTGAGTGAATGTCTGAGCAGGACGCTTGGAAGACAGACACAGAACTGACAGGATGATGGTCACCCTGACAGTTCCAGGACGACTGGAATGATGAAATGACCATTGTGGGACATATGGACCTTGAGCAAGGCACTTGAGCCTAACCAGCTGATATAAAGCAGCATGTGTGAGCCGCCCAGGACTGGAAGTTGGCACACAAGTTCTTTTCCTAGTAAAGTGGGCCGGACTAGGCTAGTTCTTGTCGTAAGTTGACTTCATCCCTTTCGTCCTCACTGAGCACCCAGGATGTAGGAGGGTCATGAGGAGTCAGTACAGGGAGAAGGAGGAGGGGGGCACAGGTGGAAGTAGGAGCGCTCGGTGGAGGGGGACGGAGGGCAGCTCTCCTCAGCCGACATGTACTGGGAGCGAGGGGTGGGGGGTGGAGGATACGGGTCTGAGTCTGAGTTAAGGTCCATGTAGTACTTGTTGTGTTTGCCGTGGCTGCCATGGCTGGAGGCCTTCCAGCGGCCTGCTGATGACGCCAGTCCAGCCGGCGGGTGGTGAGGGGTGTAGTCACTGTCACAGACGTCAGTGCTGCAGGGCGTTGTAGGTGGGGCGGCGCCACGGACCGGGTGGTAGGGTCTGGTGGAGATAACAGAGTAAGCTGACATCAGGATTTAGTTTTACTTACTGTACATCTAATCTTTTTTTTTTTTTTGAAACTGTCTCATTAAAAAGTCTTTATTTCAATCACATGCCTCCTATCAACTTATGACGCTTAACAATGAGTTTTAAAAAGCTAAATATATCAACAGCAGCACCAGTGGTAACAAGGCTAGAAGCAGGAGACAATGAACACAAAGCAGGAAATATAACTGCATCATCGTTAGCTCCATGTGGTCCCTGACGTGAAGGTCCCATACGGTGAAAATCCACCATTACTGTGTTTTGTTGTTGTTATAAATGTGGAGGTGTAAATGAATGAATGAAGATGTTTACTTTGGCCATTTCTCAAGCACCTCACAAAACGTTGCACAGCTTTATAAGCCAGTAAAAATTCGCCCCAGCTACAATGTAACACCGAACTAACCAACTGTTGTCCAGCTCAAACTGTAATTGACAGCCAGAGCTGTCAGTGTCAGAAGCAGACAGCGTGTTGTTCCTGGAGGAGGCAGGCACAGCAGCAGCTTATCGGCACAACAGCTCATTTAGAACATCCCTAAAACCCTGGGCTATACAGCCACGGTGAAATGAGCCTTCTTGAAAGACACATTCTGGAGACTGGTCAGAATTTAATGAATTTGCTAAAAAGGGGCACAATATGGGACCTTCAATATGTAATAGTAGATCTGTTATACAGTTATCTGCCCTGCTTCCTGAAAGAATCAAGCTCCATGGTGAAAAATATCTTCAGTGCAAACCTATATGATCTGGTGGTGGATGGACTGTTGGAGGAATAGAAGATCTCTGTGTTGTAAAGAGAGCGATCAGTGGCTGGGGATGGAGGAGGGTTCAGGATCTACAAACAGAAAGGATCTGTGTTATTTGACTGGAAATGAAACAATGAACAGCATGCATACACAGTGTGTGTGTGTGTGTGTGTAGACCTGAGGATAGAAGACTCCTTTGGTAGATGATGAGCTGCTGGATGAAGCTCCAGTCACATGGTTCCTGTCATACAGAGGCGCTCCACTGCTGCTGCTGCCCATCAGGCTGACTGAACTCATCATGGACTTCCCACAGGAAATACCTGCAGACAGTCATTCCCATTTTTACTAACACCAGTACCTATGAGTAACGTTGTAAACATGGCACCATTGCTTCTGTGTCTGAGCTTACCTTGGAAGGTGGCATGCTGTGAGCTGCTGGGGGTGATGAAGTTGAGGGGCACATGAGGTGTCCCACTGATGTACTCATGAGGGAAAGTCCCACTAGGCCCTTTGTAACGTCGACACACTACACGCTGACAGACAAAATAAGCTCCTCCTATTACGAAGACGAGCAGGATGATAGCAATGACTGGACCGATGGTGTTTGGCCCAGTATTAGGGATGCCAATGGAGGGCGGAGACACATACTCTACACATGGGAAAGATAAAGAAAAAAAGGATGCAGGGTCAGTGATAAATGTAGTAAAAGTAAAAGGAACTCACCAGACAAAATACAGTCGTGACTCGATAATCTGACACTAAATGTAAAACCTTCTTTTATGTCGGATAGCGAGGCTGTCGGATTGTCAAGACGGAGGTCGAGATACAAGGAGGACTTGATGCTTTAAGGGTAATGTGCTGTTAATATTTATTGTTTATAGTTGCTATAACAATTAGTGCATTGTTAGAACACTACGCATCACTGGATTTCACACCTAATTGACCGGTGCACTTATGCACGTTCTGGTCACTTCCACCCCAGGGGAGCACTCTGATGGGGTGGAAGTCGCCGGAACACACAGGCAGTACTTGGCTGCTGATGCTAGTTTAGGATAGCGGTCACACTTCTGTTTCCACCACTGGTGGCGGCAAGGGAGTGGCGGATACGCTCCACCGCTACCATCAGTGTTTACTTCGGCAAACACTGAGTACGCTCGCTGTGTGTGACGTCATTGTGTCCTCTTCTGCGCATGAGGGACACTTTTGGGTCATATGAAGTTCACACAGCAGATCACATACAAGTCGCATTTAATTGGAAATGTGAACGAACTCGCAAAAAAATTGGATTTCACAAAAAAATCCGAATTGAGCATTAAGTCCTGCAGTCTGAACGTAGCCAATCTGTTGGATTGTTAAGTCAGATAATACGCTGTTATTCTTATTTGTGACATAAAACGTCATGTCGGAGTCGTAATCCAAGGCTGTCGGTATGTTAAGGCTGTTTTCTATGGGTTCCGTTTGTTTTTCCTAAAAACCTGTTGGACAGCAAAGTTATCGGATTGTAAAGGGTCAGATTATCAAGCCATGACTGTATGTGTGCTCATACTGTGAAGGTATGTAAATGTATTTACCACAGGCAAGCTCATCTGATCCATCAGGGCAGTCAGAATAATTGTCACACTGTTGTTTTTTAGTGATACACTGGTTGTCGCCACAGCGGAATTGGTTAGGAGGGCAGATGGCTGGAGGAGAGGAGGAAACATAAGAAAAAGCAGTTCCTTGTCAGTTTCTTACTACTGAAACTGATTTTGTGTAGCAGCATGTTAGAAGAATAAATTCTACACAAATCTGTGATGAATTAATTCATTTTAATGAATTCATAAACCTCTGGATATTAACAGCTCATATGTCAGGGTTTTTCCTGCATAAGATGAATATTTAGGGGCCCTCAAAGAGGTTTTAGTCTGCACCAAATGATAAGAATTAAAAATACATCTTTGTTTTTGATAATTAGGGCTTCATTTTCTTAAACATGATTGACTTTGCTATTCAACAAATGGTTACAAATCACAGGGAAATGCAGAGATATCTGTGAAACAGCATGACCAACTCTTTGCCTTTACTGTAGGTGGACCTGATTATACTTACTGTTGTGTGTTGTCACCCTATAAAATGTTTTGGGATGATTTTCATGTATTTTCAGGAACTATGTTACTGAAGCTGACTGAAAACAAGTATTGGGGATGACAAATTGTGGTCATAACCAATTTCCACCCATGTCTGGCCTTGCTGTAGTGGTTTCAGTTTGAAGTGTCACATCCTCTGAAGGATTGAGAATACAACAGAAGTGAGTACACCTCTGTGCAAAAGATTCAAAAATCAAATCACCTCTTAAGAACTGCCTTACTTCTAAGTTAAAGCAGAATACTTCCCTTGATAAACATCTAAAAAAAACAATACTTTAGAAAGACTGTATTCACAATTCAGCCTGCAAAGAAAAAAATGAGTAGGACAAAAGTGAATGCACCTGTGATCATAGATAGAGATACCTTTCCCTGTCATGCTAAGCTGCATTTTAATTTGGTTTAAAGACTTTGGTTTAGAAAACATGTTCTACTATGGGACCTTCCTGTCCATCTCCCTTCTGGTTTCTCGATGAACCTGCTTGCATGCACACAGCGTCAGAGAAGAGGCGATACTGTGCAGCTGCTGATGGAGAACACAGCACTGTGTGTGTGGTGGGTATTACTAAGTTTGCTACAAACATAGTACTATGAGTTCATAATACCTATTACATATTTTATGGGGCAAAATAGAATAAGAAAAAAGGTTTATTAATGACACTTGTCTTGATTAACATGTTTATAGATAATCAGGTCAGAACTGTTTCTGAAACTCTGAAAATGGAATTGCATTATGTATAAATCTGCCTTATCTTGGCATCACAGAGGATTCTGTGAGAAAAACTGGAGCTATGACTATTTTTTTTACATTTGAAATATATGCCAGCAGCAGCTTTGATCCAAACTGAACCATTATGGAACTTTATATTCACATATTAGTCACAGAAAAGTAGATCGTGTAGCTGTTAACAGTTGCATTAAGCTAATACTTATTGTGTAAACCTACTTTCACAGTCCTGTTCATCAGAGTGATCAGCACAGTCGGGTTCACCATCACAGCGCTTTTGAGCATCAATGCAGCCTCCTTTGTCACACTGGAACTGGAAGGCAGAACAGACAGGGCAGTTGTCCTCATCGCTACTGTCTTCACATTCAGGGAGGCCATCACAACGCCAAGCCATTGGTATGCAGTCGATCTCCCCTGTGGAGCAGGTAAACTGCTCTGTGGAGCAGGTTGGAGGCTCTGAGAGAGATAAGAGAGGCGACATATGTTGAGAGTGTGAGGGAGAAGAAGAGGAGAAAGGGACGTAAACTGAGATGAACACCTAACTTCAGGAGGCTACAGAACTCTGAGTCTTCAGGATGCACACAAAACAGTGCAAGTGAGGGGTGTAAAGTTGCAGATCTAACATGGCAGTATGTTAACAAATAATAGTAGCCCCGTCACTATTCTTAGACTCAATACACATTAACATTGCTTTCTCTCCACAATTTGTATTATTCCACCTCATATTTTTTTCTCATCATGGGCTCATGTTTTACTGCAATAGAAAGTCTTGCATCTCTATGGAAACACTACAACTATGGCTAGAAGTAGAGAGAACTCAGAAATGTCTTTTGTACAATAAGTTACAATGGAATAAATCCTACAAAAAATGTTAGATAACAGTTGCAGAATAAAATGATGAAATATCACAACATGCAGCCTGGATTTGGCAAAGCTTTTGACCAGTACTTCACGGATAAGTAGTTCAGGACTGTCAGAAAGTTGAAATACAAATAATTCTTTCTGTTTTTACAGCTTTCAAAGGCACAGTATTTTTTTAAAGACCTGTTGGCGGGTTTTGTGGTTCATTGGGTTAATGCTGTTAGTGTGGTTTTGTTGCTCACCTCCACAGTGCAGCAGATCCTGCAGTAACACTAGGTGTATTGGACAGGAGCAGCGAGGTGTTCCATCTCCCTTAGCAATGCAGATGTGAGAACAACCCCCGTTGTCACGGGAACAAGGGTGGGATGCTGGAGAAAAAAACAGTCATTACTACAAAAACCCACTGTGATGTCAAACCGCAAAGCCCTATCAATATAATGTGTTGCAGTGAGCTAGTCAATATCTGGATATAGCAGTAACAGAGCCAGTGGTCTGTACCAAACTCTTGTGGGTCCATCTCTTCCACAGCGTGGATGGAGGTCAGGTATGATATCCGTCCCTGAATGCGTGTGCGTCCATCTCCAGTCAGTTTGTCCACCCTTTCTATCATCTGCTGCTGCCGGTCAATCCAGTACAGATGGTCTCCCAGAACTGTCAAGCCCATTGGCTGAAGAATGTTTGAATCCTGTAGGACGATGCGATTGGCTCCTGAGAGAAATGGAATAGCATGATGAGAAAATAGTATATACTGACCAACTTGTGTTATTTTAATTCATATCAATGATCATATCATATTCAATCTTGTATAAGAGGTCAAATGAAACATTTTCATGACTGTTTATAGGCTTTTCATGGCAGAATTCAAATGTAATGTTCTGAGGTGTTTAAGAAAGAAAATTTGGCCCAAATGACAAATGACCTGAACTGTGGCATGATGGAATGCGAGGGCTCCAATGAGCTGCCACAACACAATCGTCGCTGCCCATCTGCCTCCCTCACCAGATTTGGCAACATTCAACTTCTTCCTCTTCCATGAAATAAAATTTCAAGTTGGAGGCTTGCCATTTTGAAACAGTGAAAGACATTTAATGCTCTTTGTGAATGTTTCTTGACAAATTATCTACAGTCTGTGCAAAATAGGTCCTGCTGCTAATAGCACAGTTTCATGTGACATTATGACTCACTGTTCGCCCATTTTGCATGCACCATCTGTGCACAATCTCGGAACTTTACTAATCAACCGTTATATGGCTTTTATACAGATGTGCAATTGTTTGAAGAAGTTTTACAAAATGCAATCGATGCACTACACTTATAGGCTTATATTTTAGGACTGACAAAATCAATAATCGTAGCCTGCAAGAACGAGCTGCTATAGCTGTCGTTGGATGAGCCAAAGTAAACGCATACTGATGGGTAGGGAGGCTTTGTTTGTACATGAACAGTGTCACTGAAATATTCTTTTTACCCAAACCAGCAGCCATTTCTCACTTGTAGTTGAACGGAAAAACGGAGTTGGCTCACCTCATCAAACCAAAAAAGAAAACACAGTGCTCCAGTATCTGTCTCTGTGTTCTTTGGCCTTTGTTCAACAAATAATATTAATCTCTGCATGTGGATTGTCTTCAGTAAATGTCCGTTTTTGGTCACATAATGTGGCTGCACATTGCTATAAATAAGGCATGGGAGTCTGGCCTCCCTTGATTCCATTCATACATGTGTTTCAATCTTAAGACAGCCTCTGGTCTGCTTAAGGAGCAGGAAGTACAGCCAATCTAAATAGTTCTCTGAGTAAGTGTCATTCTACTTAACTTCTACACTTCACTTCATTAAACTTAAACTTGCCTATTTCACTGTTTCATGGTTTGTTTGTTTTTAAATACTACAGTGAGGTGGAACAAGATGCTTATTGTTTCTTGTCATACTGCAAATATTCTGCATTACTATTGTATATCTGATGGTACCGCTCTTTATTCTTTTCATTAAAATGTGCATTGATGTGCTATTTTTTTTCTCATGAATTATTACTGTTCAAGCTAGCTCACCTGTCAGGTCACTGCTCTCAATGCGTTTAAGGTCAGCATCGACCCAGAAGAGTTTTCCCAGTTTATTGTCCAAAGCCAGAGCTACTGGTCTGATCAGGCCAGTGGTGAACAAAGACTCTCTCTCTGTCCCATCCAGGCTGGCTCCTTCAATCTTAGCTGAGCGCTCCTGCACTGTGGTGAAATACATGTACCTGCAGAGGGGGACAGACATGTTTACATAGGTCAATGCAACTTGCCTCTGCTCTCTGTGTCGCTGGGATATTCCAGTGAGTCAGTTGCACAACTCCACTTTCTTATTGGATGCCACTCATCTTACTTATCTAACTAAAACTAAAATGAAAATAAGTTCACCCTTTCTCAGCATTGACCACGATGGCCCGTGGCTTGTCTGTGTCGTCCTTGATGACCACACCCACAGTGTGACCATCCATCCTCTGTACGTTAATGGTGTTGGTTGTCTCACAGGTCCAGTAAATATGGCGACTGTAGGGGTCCAGGCTCAGGTCATGAAGCTGGTTGTCCACAGGTTGAGCAGTGCTGCTTACTATCATTGAAGACTGCAGGAAAACACAGCAAGGCAACAAACTCAACACTTGACTCATTTTGGTATTTCCTCACAATCATGTGAAGCTTTGCTAGCTGCCTTCTGCCTGACTACTACAGCAGATCTATCAGTCTAGCTCCAGTACGTATTGTTTTATGAAGCTGTGTAAATCTGAATAATCTTCATGGCTGATATCAGTCTTTACTGTGATCAACCTAATGTGTTTGCAACATGTTATCTACAAAGGAGACAAGGCCAATATGTGCAATTTCCTGACCTACAGACAGACAGCATTATTATGGAAGGGGAGGACACATTTAATGTTAATTTGACATTGTGTTTCCACAAAAGCAATTAATATAGCATTTTATCATCCACTACCACCTACTGACAGCTGTATAGGTCTTATAAGCTGTAAGGGTGTGCATAGTGTTACCATGGCTCCATCATCCCTGGCTCTCCGTATGTTCTGTCGTCCGTCCAGCCAGTAGACAAGCCGGTCCAGCGGATCATAGCTGACAGCTCGGACATTCCTCAGAACATGTATAGGTAGGATGATGTCAGGACTCTGCTCTCCCAAAACCATTCTGCTGATACTGGCCTTCTGACTGAAGAGCAGGAAACTAGAAGGAGCTACAGACAGCAAGATAGAGGGTGGGGGGTCGATAAAGAGGTGGTTTAGTGGTGTGGAGGTGAGGGATGGGAAAGAAGGAGTAAACACAGTATCCTCTCTGGCAAAAGTTTGCTCATTTGCACATTGCAAAATACAAAGACAAACATACAGGGTCAAAACCCAGTACACAGCACAAGCACAAGCACACACACACACACACACACACACACACACACCATCCCATCAGAACAGCTGAAATTAGTCTCAAAGATAGTCCCAAGAGCTGAGGAATTGTGGTGGGCTATGACCCTTTGGAAGAAGACAAAGTATGCTGTGTTTGACAACTTGTGTGTTGGCTGTTGAGCAACAAGCAACTGAGGTTAATTGTTTTACCTTCTACTTCAGCTATTTTTGTTCCATTTGCTCTTGAGTCCCAATTGGAGCTGCATAGCAGCAGGAAGCCAGAGAAACCTCTTTGAACAAGGGCGACCTCCATCACAGGGCAAGCAGTCAATCACTCACACACACAGATTTCTACCAGTTCCACTGCTGATGTTTTTTAAATTCAACTGTGAGATGTTCCAAATACATAAATCATTAAAAAAAGGAAAAACCTAAACAACACAATGTAACTCCAAGTCAATCACACTTCTGTGAAACCAACCTGTCCAGT